ATTTTTACTGTAAGACTTTGTAATAACATGTAAACCCCTTTAATTTCAATTCATAACAATTACCTAAAGTCTCTCTAAACCAGTGGTGTCAAAAGTCATTTGTGGGCCAAATGAGTGGTGTGGGACCAACCCACAGGTCAGATCAGGCCCACAGACTGGCCCTACAAGCCCTACCCAGCACACATCCCAGAGCAGCAAGAGCTGGCATTGCATACAGTATATGTCCTAGACCAGCTGCTCTGGAACCGCGCTGCATGCAGCATCCACTCTAGCATGCAGCTGCTCCATGACAGATCCTATGTACATCCCAGAGGCAGAGTTGGTGCCACATGCAGTAAGGCCCTAGCGTGGGCATCAAATGCGGTGTGGTCCCAGACTATATGCTCCAGAACCATACCACACCACATGTGACACCCTCTTTGGTCACTTCAAGACTATGCCACACGTGGCAACCACTCCAGCGTGCATCTGTTCTGTGACGGACCCAGCAAGTGTCCTAGAGTGGGTATCACATACAGGGCATGTCCCAGAGTGGTGCACATTGCATGTCCCAAAGCAGCTGGGGTGCTCCAACCATGTTGGAGCCATGCTACATGCAGTCTGCTCTAGCTGCCCTGGGACATATGCTTGATCTAGTATGGAGTGGACGTACACTGTAATGGGTGCTGCATGCAACATGGTCCCAGAGTAGCTGCCATATGTAGCATATGGGAGCCTTGAGTGTACCTCCCATGCTGCCTGTAGATCCATTTGAGACCCATAGGCAACACTGGGTCCTGGATGATATGGCTCCATGGATGTTTGTTTAGACACCCCTGCTCTAAACAAATAAGATCTCAGGCATTATTCTGGGATAAGAAGTGAGATTACCTATCATTTTTGGAAACCTTTACTAATTTAGCAAGTTGCTAAGATTCTTGTATCACAAGCAAGATTTCCCAAACTTTACTTACCAATTCTATAATAATGATCCAGTTTATCCCACAGACTTTCTCCATCTGGCCTTGGAAGATTAATGCTTTTAATTGGCTCATAAATTGAACCTAAAGAAAAAGTCAAAATCTTAATAAGATTTAAATAAGACATCAAAATAGGATAATCATGTGTCAACTATTGTTAACAATGCCCTCAATATGTATTTAATCTGTATATATTTTATATACAATTTCCATTCATATAGTATCAATTCCCTTAAAAGTTATTTTATTTCTTGCATAATCCAGTTGTTTTTTTGTAATTGTTCAATACTACATTAATGTTTGAAGAAGAGATGCCTGAGGAGGGATTTGATAAAAGTCTTCAAATTCCTGAAGGGCAATTGCAAAGAGGATGGAGATAGCCTTTTCATGGTCTGTGACAAGACAAGATTGAGAGCAATGGCCTCAAACTGCTGAACAGGAATTTAAATTGGTGATTAGGAAGAACTCTGACTATAAGCGTGGTTAAGCACTGGTACAGGCTACCTGGAGAAGTTGTATAATCTCCATCCCTTCAACAGCAGGTTAGACAGACACTTGACTAAGATAGTTTAGTCAGGGGTTAATTACATGCTGAGTAAAGGGCTGAACTAAATGACCTCACGTGGTCCCTTCCAGCCCTACTTCCCTATGACCTTAAACCAATTAAGGCTGTAACCATACTATCAAAACCTTCATACCAAGTCTCTGTCTCTCCCAACAGCCAATCTTGACATCTTGATCTTTTCTAAACATCTCCAGGACAAACACACTATTCAATTACTGGAAGTCAACTCAATGTGGCATGAACTGCCCAACACTATTCAGAAGAAACAACAAACCTAACTACACATCCCCCCCATTACAACTATTTATATATCTGTACAAAGTCACCTACTTCAGAGACAACAACTTTAGCCCTGGTTCTGTAAAACAACTGCCCCATGTCCAAACCTACACTCTACTTCTGACCCCAAGCTACCATCTGGAGACACGTTTTATTATTTCTTCACTTTCCATAGTACTGGCACTCTATTTGGAACAGATACCAGAACAGAACCATCTGCCATAGATTAGATATGTTCAAAAATTACAACCAAGAAAACCAAAGAAAAAAAATAAAACAAATGTAAGAGAATATGCAAGGTGAAATGTACTGTGTGGCCTCAGTTCAGAAGTGTGAGCAAAGAATACTAACGGTGAACATTTATTTCATTTCTTTACATTTTAGCTTAAATTTAGGGTTATGAGCTCTGCAGCATAGCTCGACACATTTGCCTCTTCTTGTTACCTTTCATGCCCCTTGCTTAGTTGTAATCAAATACGTTAACCAGTAAAGAACCACTAAATATTTTTGCATCCTTTGAAACTTCAGTTTATGGACTGAAACACTTCAGATTCATGGCAGTAAGAAGAAAGATGAACTCTGGGAAAGCAGAAGTGTCTTCAGCTTAGATATTTAAAAAGCACAGGGATATTCACCACTTTCAAAGATTTGTGAGGCAAGAGAAATGCACGTGGGGCATCTAGGCCTTATTATGATGCAAGGAGAGATAAGATGGATTTAAAATTTAACAACCCCAGTAACATGTCTTTAATTCCTTTCTCCTGACAGAAAAGTTTTATTTTTCATTTCTAACTTTTATTAGTCTATGCTTAATTATCTCAAAGGACTTTTCACATAGCTAGTATTACTGAAATGAATCCTTTCCTTATCTAATCCCCATTTTATGTTAGGGCTTTCATTCCATGAACAACCCCTGTGAGCTACTCCATTTTCCTGTCTCCAGAACCTTGAAACATTTTTCTCTAAAGAATTCCACAAATGAGAATACATTGTGTTACCTCTCAGCTCCATGTTCTTGGGGAACCCTGACACAGGACGCAGACTGTCTGACTCACAAAGAATCCCCCCCACCACCACTCTTCCTCTACCTAAACAGAAACTGATAAAGATGCAGTGAGAGACACACCTAAAACCCTCCAGATAAGGGTGACAAGAGTGAAACAACTGCCCTAGGTCTCATTTGCATCCGAGATGGAACCAGATCACCATTCATTTACATGAGAGATGGAGAACAGAAAGCCTGAAGCAGAGAGATGGCAGTGAATTCTGGGAGCAGGGGAGCACTGCATGATAGGGAATCTGTGCTCCAAATACTAATCAACCCACACACCCAGCTCAGCATTTATCAGACCAGTTCTAATCTGGATTTACAATGGACTTCCCCGGCCCCCCCATACACACACACACACACCTCTAAGCAGAAGTAAAGTTTAATAGGCATCCCGGGCCGTACATTCCCCGGTCCCACTATGGGAGGCCTATGTAAACTTAATTGGCTAAAACTCGGTTGCTGGGTTAGGGAATGCTGAGGCAAACCACCAAGTCGGGGGTATGGGCAACATGTGAACAATGGTAAAGGGTTCATCACAGC